ACTGATTCCCTTGTCATTCACCTGCTTCCCATTTCATTCACTGCTTCCCATGTCATTCACTGCTTCCCATATTATTCACTGCTTCCCCATGTCTTTCACAGCTTCCCATGTCATTCACTGCTTCCCATGTCACTCCCTGTTTCCCATATCATTCACTGCTTCCCATGTCATTCACTGCTTCCCCATGTCATTCACTGCTTCCCCATCTCATTCACTGCTTCCCCATGTCATTCACTGCGACCCCATATCACTCTCTGTTTCCCATGTCATTCACTGCTTCCCATGTCATTCACTGCTTCCCCATGTCATTCACTGCTTCCCCATGTCATTCACTGCTTCCCATGACATTCACTGCTTCCCATGTCATTCACTGCTTCCCCATGTCATTCACTGCTTCCCCATGTCATTCACTGCGTCCCCATGTCACTCCCTGTTTCCCAAGTCATTCACTGCTTCCCATGTCATTCACTGCTTCCCCATGTGATTCACTACTTCCCCATGTCATTCACTGCTTCCCATGTCATTCACTGATTCCCTTGTCATTCACTGCTTCCCATTTCATTCACTGCTTCCCATGTCATTCACTGCTTCCCATATTATTCACTGCTTCCCCATGTCTTTCACAGCTTTCCATGTCATTCACTGCTTCCCATGTCACTCCCTGTTTCCCATATCATTCACTGCTTCCCATGTCATTCACTGCTTCCCCATGTCATTCTTTGCTTCCCATGTCATTCACTGCTTCCCATGTCATTCACTGCTTCCCATCTCATTCACTGCTTCCCCATGTCATTCACTGCGACCCCATATCACTCTCTGTTTCCATGTCATTCACTGCTTCCCATGTCATTCACCTGCTTCCCCATGTCATTCACTGCTTCCCCATGTCATTCACTGCTTCCCATGACATTCACTGCTTCCCATGTCATTCACTGCTTCCCCATGTCATTCACTGCTTCCCCATGTCATTCACTGCGTCCCCATGTCACTCCCTGTTTCCCAAGTCATTCACTGCTTCCCATGTCATTCACTGCTTCCCCATGTGATTCACTACTTCCCATGTCATTCACTGCTTCCCCATGTCATTCACAGCTTCCCAAAGTCATTCACTGCTTCCCCATGTCAGTCACTGCTTCCCATGTCAGTCACTCCTTCCCATGTCATTCAGTGCTTCCCATGTCATTCACTGCTTCCCATGTCATTCACTGCTTCCCATGTCATTCACTGCTTCCACATGTCATTCACTGCTTTCCCATGTCATTCACTGCTTCCCATGTCATTCACTGCTTCCCATGTCATTCACTGCTTCCCCATGTCATTCACTGATTCCTATGTCATTCACTGCTTCCCATATCATTCACTGCTTCCAATGTCATTCACTGCTTCCCCATGCCATTCACTGCTTCCCCATGTCATTCACTGCTTCCCATGTCATTCAATGCTTCCCATGTCATTCGCTGCTTCCCATGTCATTCACTGATTCCCATGTCATTCACTGCTTCCCCATGTCATTCACTGCTTCCCCATGTCATTCACTGATTCCCATGTCATTCACTGCTTCCCATGTCATTCACTGCTTCCCATGTCATTCACTACTTCCCATATCATTCACTGCTTCCCCATGTCTTTCACAGCTTCCCATGTCATTCATTACTTCCCATGTCATTCACTGCTTCCCATGTCATTCACTGCTTCCCATGTCATTCACTGCTTCCCATATCATTCACTGCTTCCCCTTGTCATTCACTGCTTCCCATGTCATTCACTGCTTCTCATGTCATTCACTGCTTCCCCATGTCATTATCTGCTTCCCCATGTCATTATCTGCTTCCCCATGTCATTCACTGCTTCCCATGTCATTCACTGCTTCCACATGTCATTCACTGCTTCCCATGTCATTCACTGCTTCCCATGTCATTCACTGCTTCCCATGTCATTCGCTGCTTCCCATGTCATTCACTGCTCCCGTGTCATTCATTGCTTCCCCACGTCGTTCACTGCTTCCCATGTCAGTCACTGCTTCCCATGTCATTCACTGATTCCCTTGTCATTCACTGCTTCCCATTTCATTCACTGCTTCCCATGTCATTCACTGCTTCCCATATTATTCACTGCTTCCCCATGTCTTTCACAGCTTCCCATGTCATTCACTGCTTCCCATGTCACTCCCTGTTTCCCATATCATTCACTGCTTCCCATGTCATTCACTGCTTCCCCATGTCATTCTTTGCTTCCCATGTCATTCACTGCTTCCCATGTCATTCACTGCTTCCCCATCTCATTCACTGCTTCCCCATTGTCATTCACTGCGACCCCATATCACTCTCTGTTTCCCATGTCATTCACTGCTTCCCATGTCATTCACTGCTTCCCATATCATTCACTGCTTCCCCATGTCATTCACTGCTTCCCATGTCATTCACTGCTTCCCATGTCATTCGCTGCTTCCCAATGTCATTCGCTGCTTCCCATGTCATTCACTGATTCCCATGTCATTCACTGCTTCCCCATGTCATTCACTGCTTCCCCATGTCATTCACTGATTCCCATGTCATTCACTGCTTCCCATGTCATTCACTGCTTCCCATGTTCATTCACTGCTTCCCCATGCCATTCACTGCTTCCCCATGTCATTCACTGATTCCCATGTCATTCACTGCTTCCCATGTCATTCACTGCTTCCCCATGTCATTCACTTCTTCCCCATTGTCATTCACTGCTTCCCATGTCATTCACCGCAAGGGAACAGTAGTAGTAGTAGCAGTAGCAGTAACAGTAGCAGCTGAAGCAGTAGGATCGGCAGGAGACAGGAACCGGAGTTGCTGCAAGGTGGGGCACAGGGAGGCGGCGCGGCTCGGCCAGGGCGGCGCGGCTCGGTTCGTTGCGGCGCGGCTCCGCTCGGACTGGGCTACGCGGCCCATCCAGTGTCGTCGCGAGCATTTCTTGTGTAAACCCGAAGTTCCCCCCGCCAGCGAACTTTCACTTTCTCCACTTTCTACCGTATGGCCAGTGGTTGTGCCGTCAACTAAGCGTGCGTACGATCTCTTGGTAAACAACGGCTAAGCGTCAGTTGCAGCTTCTGTGCAGTCGCGTTATTAACTAAACCGTGATTGCTCCTCCGTCTATAAAAATCCTTCACTACTACCCCCTATATTTTTCTGTGAATCAGTATTGGGCAATCCATCACTGTACCTGTTAGATGAAAATGCTGCCTGGAGCAACAAAATGTCGGCGCTGGGATTCGAACTCGTGGCCTTCAAATCTGGCATGAAAGCGTCTCAAGACAGATTCAGGACAGTTTCTCTGCTAAGGCGCTGGTTATGGTGCACGCGATTTTCAAACTGGAGAACCTTTCGATTCAAGTGTCCCGAAAGGGTCTTGTAAGGACAGATTGGGGACAGTTGGCAAAATCGATCTCGGGTCGCGTTCGGTTTGAAACTCGGCAGCAAAGTGTCGAAGTCAACAGAATTCGCACGAGTTACAGTTAGTGGTCGACGGAATTCAGGACGTGGAATTCTCGTCTACGGTATTCTAGTCAATGAAATTCGCCAGGCAAAATTCAAGGCTCGGAATTTTGCGTCGACAAAATTCAACGTGCGACTCGGGTCGACACTTTCTTGTGTGCTTTGTTTTTGTATTGCGTCCTGGTATAAAACCAGAGAGCACAAACCAGAAATAAACTAAGTCATTATCACGTACGTTGGCAAATACGAGTATCAGGTATAATACGCTAGCGTATTATACGTTGGGTCATATACGCGGTACACAAGGGCCCTCTGGTCCGGTCATCCACTATGGTTGGGAAATACAGACGGAGGACAGACAGACTCAGACTCAGCAACAAGACTCGCGGTCGTAGTCTAGGCGACAGCGAGCAGCAACGTCGACGAGCTCAGCAACTAGGGCAGACGCAGCAGTGGACTCAAAAGAAGGGTCAATGACAACAGTAGCAAGGAGACGCGTGACAGTAGGACTGGCAGCACGAAGAGAGTCCGACTCCGGGTCGGTAAGAGCAGGAAGAGAAGACTCAGTAGGAGAAGGCAAAGGGGCACGTAGAGGAGCAGTGGACGGGCGCAGAGACATCCGGTGCGTGCCAGGGACAGGAGGAGGACCGCTGACGCGAACCGCGACCACTAGTGCGAGCAGCACGGACAGGCGACCGCAGGGCGAGACGCAGGCTCACTACGCTCAGCAAGACCTCCAGTAGGGACAGTGTAGGAGAAGGAGCAGGCAGTGGGGAGGCCGGCTGTAACTGTAATTGCGATGGGATAGGCTGTGGACACTCTAAGGGAGGAGGAGGACCAGTATAGAAGGCGGGAGACCAAGAAACCTGCTGAAGAGCGGAACGAAGTACGGCCGAGGCGCGCGGGCGACTCTAGACACAGCAGGACCAGCACCTCCAGCTCTATTACATCCACTAGCACCAGTAGCACCCCCAGCAGGACCGCCTCCAGGACCGACAGTAGTAGCTCCGCACCAGCACCCGCCAGCAACTCCTGCTCTAGAAGTACCTGCAGGCCCAGCAGCTCCAGTACTCCCAGTAATTGAGCACCTCCGGACCCGCGGCACAGCACCCTCAGTAGCAGCAGGAATCTCCAGTACCCGCAGCACCTCCAGCTCCAGCAGCTCGCCTCCAGCGCCGGGACAAACCACTCACGCAGCTCCTGTGGAGAGAGTGGCTCCCGGCGAGACAAAGCACCCGCGAGAACCGCCAGGCACAGCACCGCCAGACGCCACACGAGCAGGCCTAGCTCCCTCAGGCTACCACACCCCCAGGCTCAAGCACCTCCAGGCGTAGCACCCCCAGGCTCAGGCACCCCCAAGCTCAGCATCCAAGCGTAGCACCCCCAGGCTCAGCACCCCCAGTCGTAGTACCCTCAGGCTCAGCACCCCCAGGCGTAGCACCCACACGCTACTCACCCCCAGAGTCAGCACCCCCAGGCTCAGCCCCCTCAGCAGCACTAGAGTCACCAGCGACCTCGACAAGGCTCAACAACGTTCTACTGCTGGGACACACCTGAATGGGGCAGGACCCCTGAAGGGGGAGAGGGTCTACCCGGGGGGGGGGACCTGCACAAGGAAGAGCGGTGGCTGGGGGAGGGACGGAGTGCGGTAGGGGAAGAGACTGGTAGTCTAGGGGACCGACTCGTCGAACGTGACGTCCTGGGAGGACAGAACACGGCGAAGAGGTGGGTGGTAGAACTGCCACCCTGGCGGTCAGGTGGGAAACCCAGGAAGACGCAAGAGCAGCACGAGGGGACAGCTTGTCCGCAGACAAGTCCGCGGACAACACGCCCGAGATCCCTAGACACGGAACGCAGACGCATCGCCAACCTTCCCCGTCCACAGCAAAGCTGGGGAGGTCTCCGCCATGGAGACCCTGGGCTGAAGGTTGATCTGATGCGTCGCGTACCGGACCGCAACCGGCCACAGAAATGGGGGGCAGCGTATGCATCATGGACGTACGGGCGACGGTCCATGACCATGCCAATGCGGCGCTAAGCAATCCCATTTTGCTGTGGAGAGTCCGAAGCGTGAAGGTCTAGCAGATGCCTCGTGCACGACAGTAGGCTCGAAGAAGGCCAGAAGAGAATCTCCGCCTCTGTCAGAGTGCAGACGACAAAACAGGAAAGTTCGAGCCGAAGCTCTGCCTGAGCTGAGACGAGCTGCGCGGATTCCAGTCGATCAACACCTCAGTGACATCACCCTTGCTGCGCAAGGGGAAGACTGTGGTGTAACGCGAGTAGTCGTCAACCACCAGCAGGAAGTAGCGCTCGTGACCCTGTCCACGGACGCGGGCGGGCCACACACGTCCATATGAAGCGTCTGCAGCGGGGCCTCTGTCAGAGGAAACTGGGAGGAGTGAGGGGCAGCCCGCTTCTGCCCCTCGACACAGGGGATGCAGGCAGGGCCAGGCCTCGGAGGAAGGGGAGGGAGGGACCGGGGAAGACCAGAGACAAGGACACGGGAGGCCATGCTTCGGAGACGAAGCAGGGAGGGGTGAACAAGGCGGTGGTGCCAGAAGAGAGTCTCGTGAGACAGGAGGCGACACGAGCAGGGGGCAGACCTGGACGCTGCAGCAAACACCTGACCCGACGCAGCTACCTGACCAGATGCAGCAGTGACAGGAGAGACGCAGTGGTCAGTGTGTACAGGCTCGACCCCGGCCGACGTGTAAACGTGGCCAGGTGTCGGCCTGTCCAAGCGTCCGTGCAGTGGGTCACCCGCTGACTCGCAGGAGTGAACTGGTGAACCCTCGCATCCTGTAGGTCAGCACCACTCACCAAGTTCGTAGAGAACGAGGGGAGGTAAAGACCAGACAGGGTGCCAGAGGGGGCCGCCGGACACGGGAGGACAGTGGAGAAGTGAGCAAGGACAGGACCCCCAGGGGGTCTGCCAGAGAGACTGTAACTGGCCGACCAAGCGGCGTGAGTGTGGTGCGGTCTCGAAAGAAGGAGCGAGAAGCCCCCGAGTCAAGGGTGAAGGAAGGTGGGTGGGGCCGAAGCCGACGCGGTACCTGAGAGCGCAGACTCACCAGCACCTCATGAAGCACACGCACTGGCACCTAGAGCAACACCTTCACTAGCACCTAAAGCAGCAGCCTCACCAGTACCTAGAGCAGCAGTCTTAATGCCCGGGTCGGGCGGAAAACAGCGGTAACAGTCACCCTCCTCACTAATAGTCATAGCATACATGGCAGCAAGAATAGCATCAAAGTCAAGGTCAAAGATAGCTACACCCGCCCTAGACAGCTCGCCCCCAGCGAGGGATCTTAGTGGCCTCAGGGAACTGGTGGCGCCTAGCGTCAGTCAGGCGGCCAAAGCAGCGCTGGGTGGGGTGCGCACCCCCGCACTGCTCACCCGCCAGGTCGCTGGTGCGTAGGACGTAGGTGCACGGACCAGTACCCCTACCCCGCTGGCGTGCAGCGTACCACTCACGGAGCTGCTGAGGGGGGGGGATGTCAGAGGTTCGCTGCTGCTGCTGCTGCTGGCGCTGACCACCACCGGAGCCGACCCTCTCCGTAGCGCCACCCCGACCAGCTCCACCTCCTCCGCCGCCTCCTCCTCCACCGCCGCCACCTCCATCCCACCGCCACCGCCACCGCCGCCTCCGCCACCGCCGCCTCCGCCTCCGCCTCCACTGCCGCCACCTACACCTCCACCCCGGCCACCACTCCCACCACCATCCCCACCCCCTCCATTGCCTCCACCGCCACCTTCACTGCCCCCGCCAGCCCCTCCAGCGCCCTTGCCCCCTTTGCCCTTGCCGGGGCGACGTCTCCCACTAGGGGCAGACGCAGCGCCAACCGACTCGAAGCCAACGAGGTCGGCCGCAGCAGCAGAGGCAACAGAGGGCAAAAGGAGGGAGGGGAACACCCTCAAAGATGGGGGTGCGAGGGTCACCACGAGAGGCTCCTACAGCGACTATGCTCTTCTCTGCTGCTAGGAGGGCCTTCTTGAGGAGGTCAACGGTGAGTGTGGTGGGGCGAATTGAGAGGAAGTGGTCCCTGACTATGCGAAGGGAGTCAGGGAGCCGGGTGACTATGTAGTATAGGGTGATGTACATGGGGGGGGGGGGGGGGGGTTCTTGGCGCAGAACTCAGCAGGAAGCGCAGCGCAGTAGCGAGTGTCACTAGTGCGGAGGTGCGTAATGAGGTCAGCGACTGTCGGGAAGGCAGCAAGGTCAGGGAAGAGGTACGGTAGCATGAGGCGGCTCAGTGCAGCAGTGGCAGGGGAGGAGTAGCGTGCAACTACAACATCGTACAAGGTCTGAGCACTCTTGTACTGGCTAAAGTGCGCACGCTCAGAGGTAGGCAAGTGGCGACGCACAGCAAGACATGCAGCATCATCGCGTGTGGCCCACTGTGAGCGAACAGTGGCGTCAGCATCGGCAAGGGGCAGGAGAGGCACCAGAGGTGAGGTCAAAGAGGGAGAGACCGTCTGCCCTATCGCAGTGTAAGAAAAGCTGCAGGTCATCTACCCAGACGTCAAAGTCAATGGCCCGACCCTCAGCGTCAAAGGTGAGGACACCAGGGGTAGCTATGATAGCAGTAGACTAGCAGCGCAAACAGTAGGGTAAGGGCAGTGCAATGAGAGAGGCACTGCTCTTACCGGACAGGGCGGCTCGGGCGGCTCGGCGGCTCGGCAATACGGCGGCTCAGCAGCAACTGCGGCTCGGGCGGCTCGGGCGGCTCGGCGACTCGGCGGCTCGGGCGGCTCGGCGGTCAACTGCTGGGCGGCTCGGCGGCTCGGCTGCTAGGCGGCTCGGCGGCTCGGCTGCTGGGTGGCTCGGCGGCTCGGCTGCTGGGCGGCTCGGCGGCTCGGCTGCTGGGCGGCTTGGCGGCTGGTGTGGCTGGAGACGGCCGCGGCAGCAGTTGCAGGAGCTGTGGCGACTGCTGCTGCAGAGACGGCGGCGGTTGCTGCCTCAGGGACGGCGGCGGCCGGCCGCTAGGGGCCGCGAAGGGCGGCGGAGGGGCCGTGAAGGGCGGCACGAGGGGCCGCCGAGGGCGGCGACGAGCCATGAGGGGGGGTTGTGGAAGGCGGCTCGAGGGGCCGCGAGGGGGCCGTAAGGGGCCGACGGGCGGTGGGAGGAGGCCGTAAGGGGCCGTAAGGGCGGCTCGAGGGGCCGTAAGGGCGGCGTTAGGAGCCGTAAGGGCGGCACGAGGGGCCGTAAGGGCGGCGCGACGGGCGCGACAGGCCGTAAGGGCGGCGCGACGGCCGTAAGGGCGGCGCTAGGGAGCCGTGAGAGGGCCGCTAAGGGCGACGCGATGGGGCGTGAGGGGCCTAGCGAGGGCGCGACGGAAGGGAGAGCACACGGGGCGCGACTCGGGCCGGAGCGAAGCGCGCTCTGGGCAGGAAAAAACATTCGTGGTGGTGGGCCCTAGGAATCGTTCCCACTAGGGAACCTGCTCGATACCATGAGAAGAAACGAGGAATGATTGAACTATGAAACAGTTGGGTACAAGTACTAACCCTAATTGGGTTGTACCCCTTATGGCTACCCCACTACAGCCTACACAAATGTATAAGCTATAATGTCTGACACGCTCCCCCTTGTACGGTTGCACCGGCAGCGGCCCCACCAAGTCCACGTGGACCAGCTCCAAAGGATTCTTGTTCCTCCAACCACACTATGTAAGGGAAACGGGTAAACTTTGAGAGCAAACATATTTCACGGTTGTCATTGAGTGGCTGTTTTTTCAGCTTCAGATGCTTGACGACTCCATTATCTGGCGTACGTGATACGTAAAAAATATGCTGGGTGGGCAGGTAATATTTTTTTTCCGAGCAGGATAAAAAAACATGTGGGGGGAGGGGGGGGGGGGGGGGGTATGTTTCCCAAAAACACATGTCATAATTTAATTTCATAAATATCCAGAATACATCTTCGAGGCTACTTCTCCCCATACATACATCCCCACCCCACCCTCTAGATTTCCTTGCGGGGCTTTTCCAACACCGCCCCTTCCCCATACTCATCCGCCAGAACTGCATCCTCTCCTTCCGCCCCCAGCATGTCATCCTCCTCCTCATCCATGTTATAGCTAGGGGGGATAGGGGCATACGGGATGTTACCGGGCATAACCGTGCTGTCCCCATCCTTATTGTACCAATTGCGCACATCGTTCCAGTTGTGCGCAATGTAGACGAGGTCCGCAGCGGACCTGAGCCGGTTGCAGCGGGCGGTGTGGACGCCTTCCCACTGTGCCCAGCCATGTTCGCATGGGGAAGCCGAGACGGGCTGAGTGAGCACCCGGCATGCGAGGGTGGCAAGCTCAGGTACTCGGTGCTGTGCCACGACCACCACTGCACCATGGTCATCTCCCCCTTCTTCACTGCCTCCCTTGCAGATATGGCGCCTGCGTGCCAAAGCTGCCCTCCATGTTGATGTAAGCCAGCAGTGCCTCCTGCAGCACAAGGGAGGCGCGGCGAGGGGCGCCATCCTTGCCACGCCTGAAGTTTTTGTTGTCGTAGTGGCGCTCGATTTAGTCGTTGAACACCCCGCGTGCACTCCACATCGTTCCTGAAAATCCCATCCACCTGGTTGGCCGGATTCAGGATCCGGCCAACCACATGCTAGGGGCAGGCAAGGGAGTTGTCCCACCTGTCCTTCACAATCCGGGTGATCTCTGCCTTTTCCGCCCGACTCATGAAATCGCTGCATCATCCAACTTATCATTGATGTCT